ACCCAGGATGTAGCAACAGGTATAGACCGATATTGAACCCACGAGAAGTGGGAAATTACAAACACCAACAATTAAGCCTTTTACGGGATTCGAACCTCAACCTTGACTTCGGGGTAGTGTTTAGCCTCAGCTAACTACGATATCATCGAGCGGGATGAAGCTATTTTAAGTTAAAAGTGGTAAAGTGAACATCAAATCCCGCAAAAGACAAATGTAAGGTGTTAAAAAAAAAGGCAGCTACATTCATAGTTTCTTTAAATATTAATTGCAGACATGTATTTCTATGATCCTTAAACTCAGATAGAAAATTTTCAGAAAACAGTTTCAATGTTGTGAGTGGAAGGTTTTTAAAACTATAAAATCTAACATTTTATATGGCTCGTTACAGTAAAACTATTAAAACTTTCAATTAGTAATGTATTTATTTTACTTTAATAAGTTAATTATAGAGTTATATCTTTATGTGTAAAATTCTGAAAGATATTTATGACCAATAGTTTTATTCGGATAGTCTGAAAATTTAAAAGCGAGCGATATTGTATTTAGTACCGAATAATTTACCTCGAAAACATGGACATTTTGTAATTTTATTTATTTTTGTTGGGAAAATTTTTATCATTAGTGGGCACTGAAATTTGATTTAAGTCATTAAATTCGTTTTCCAGTACTATTTCCGCAAATTTTGCAGGTAGATATATATATATATATATTATAATTCAGATGGTTCAAAACTGATGAATGTTTTAATAATTGCTATTCCTTCCCCGTGACGACCAAAAGGATATCTAAAGTTTATATTTACAGAAGCTAATAACACTAATCGAACTGTTTTCATAAAATTATGTAATTTATTTTAGAAAATTTTTTAATTAGATTAGAACTCTGATATCATTATTTTATGACGCCTGTAGCTAAAGTCTGCATAAAGAGTGTGGTCTCTACAAAGGGATATTTTATTACTAATCGTATTAAAAAGAAGAGCATTCTGTACTAAGCATTTTTCTCCTGCTTATGCATTATCTCGAATCGAATTTATTTTGTACATGTGTTATAATTGCATTTTGGAAACTGTGAATCATGGTGCGGTACACACATTACCCGTTATCTTAAAAATTAATTGTCCCTTAATTACACTAATTTGCATAGGAAATTATATTTTACATGAGTGCCTTTACTTAAAATAACTATTTTTATTGGCAAAATTAATATTTTTCTAGGTCAAATTAACAGTTAAAATTTTAAATTGAATTAAAGTAATTCGATTACTCGGGCAGATAATTTTAAATTTTCAATCTGTTGAGCTTTCCCATACACAAATGTGCTAAAATCAATGCTAATTTTTCTCATTAATTCGAATATTCGCTTAGTCGGAATTTTTTTCGGCCTATGAATTTCAATTGCGTCTTCTGTAACAATACAAAAATATTTTCAGTACTTTTTCCGATATAGAAGAACATGAAACAAACAGTTTTCGCTCGAAAGGTACAAGAGTTGGACAAAAATATGGAAACACAGAAATAAAAACATATTGCTGTGACTAATACGGTGTAGGAAAAACCGTTGGCATTCGAAACAGCTTACAGTCTTCTCTGAATGGATAAATAGAGGTTTTGTATGCATTGCAAGGGAATCTTGTACCCTTCTTCCTGTAAAACGTTGGCAAGTTCAGTTACCGATGATGGCGGTGGATAGCGCTGACGCAGATTTCTCTCCAAAGCAGACCACAAAGGCTCCCTAATATTAATATCTGGTGATTGTGGTTGCCATGCTATATGTGAAAGTTCACCTTCATGCTCAGAAAAATACTCCTGGATGATGTAAGCTGAGTTAGCATGATCTCTGTCGTCTTGAAATACCGCATCACCACTGCGGAAAACATTTGTGCAATGGGGATGGACGTGATCAGCCAAAGTGGTTACATAATCCATGGCAGTAATGTGACCTTGCAGAGTAATGATGGGTCCCACGGATTACACCGATATGGCTGCCTAAACCCCCACCATGTTTCCTTTTCGGCAGCAAATAGTCTCTATCATACGTTTGGGACGACGTTCACCAAACGTAAACTCATCCAGAAGACGAAAACAGTGTGAAGCGAGACTCATCCGACCACATGACAGTTTTCCATAGTTCTACAGTCCAGGTTTTATGATTTTGGCACTACTTTCTCCTCTTACAAACATTTTGATCACTGATGAATGACTTTTGAAATTGCAGCTCACCCAGTACTAACCTGCTTGTGGAGCTCCCTTCGTACTGTTTAGGCGCTGATAGAGTTTGTGAGTGCGACATTCAGTTCAGTGGTCACTTTTGCGGTTGTAGTCCTCTTATTTTCATTACAATCCTCTTCAATGGTCATTTGTTATGATCACTCAAAGCACATTTTTATTTGCGGTACGATTTAGCGGATGCTGTTTTTTTCGGCTTCCCTGTATGAGTTAAAAATCTTAGATACTGTGCCTGTTGAAACAAGAAACACTTCAGCTACCTTGGTTACGGAAACACCCACCATAAGAGACCCACAATTTGTGCACGTTCGAATTCATTTAGCTCTGACATGATGCACTCACATCTGTCTCAATAATAAATGTCACTTGACATATTATGAAGGATGCACAGGTGACGTTAGTGAGCAAACACATCAGCGCCATCAACAGCTTTTGCAAGAATAAAAATTCCAAACATGCGTTTTACGAGGTTCGTCATCAGCTCATTTCGACTCCGATAAAATTTTCTAAGCATAAGAAATACTTCTGTATTCTTTTTTAATTTAAAAATACCAAAACATGACTAGTAGCGTTATTAAAACATTTTTGCTATGGTTAAGAAAATAAAGGACGGATAAGGATTTTGTGGAGGTGTATATTCTCATCTTTCTAGAAACTTAATTGTAATAAACATACAAAAATTTAGGGTCATCAAGATCAATCTGCAGTTTGAATTAACCAGATGATGGATTGTAAGGGGGCTCTATTATTAGGAGTGAGGTCATCAAGATCAAATCTGCAAAATGAATTTACCAGAAGATGGATTGTAAAGGTGCTATATTATTAGGATTGCGGCGAAATTAAAGTTGGTGTCTTCAGTAGTTCCATTCGTGATGAATACAGAACAATTAATTTAAGTGCTAGGAAACTATGTACTCAAACCTCAGTCATGGCAAGAATTTTACGAAATATCATATTTTCGATATTTTACTTTAGTGAAAACGAACTTAACTCTGCGTTTTTAGGTTTGGAGCAAAATTCTAGCCGTTCAGAACTTTGTCAAAAATCTCTTCGCCAGAATTTTCTCGAGTAAATTTTTACTGTAAAGGAGGATAAAAGAGGAATGTGAGGTAATACAAAAATGCAGGCATTTTAAATGCATGCACTAATCATGATCGCTGATATTCCTTTGAATACGATCATAGCCGTCCTGTTCTAAAGCCTCACACCAAGTTCCATGACGCCGTATCCAGTCATCGCGTTAACACAATGAATAACGGTTATGTAAAAGAATACAAAACAAGCTTCTGGTCCCCCAGCTTTCGTAATGGTATTATGGACATAAATAATTGGCTCCATTTAAAATGCTTTCAGATGGGGATCACAGTAGACCCCGTATCACTATGCATGAGCTTGCAAAGACCATAAGAATACACAAACACTACTGTAGTCAAGCAAATTCCAAAACTTAGCTTTAGCAGAATGAAAGTGTATCTGTCCACCAAAAACTGGCGTAAGGAAGTGTATTCTGTTTCCGTATTGTTCTAACCGATTCGCTGAGAGGTAGCTTAATTTCTTCGCCAAAAAAGAACGAGCCGCCAATTCAACAATGGAAATAAAGGTTTACCCGTTTAAAGAGATTTTATACACTTAGTGGGATTTTATGGTGCATCATTACCGTTCTCGCAAGGTAAATTCGCATCACAGCGTACCGTTGCAACTAGAGTTCTACAATGCTGTCCGATTCCTGCAAGATGTCATATGGCTGAAGTGACTGGTCACAGGGCTTCAGAGGACTGCGAAATTTGGCCTTATTGCTGCATAGTAACGTCCTTAGAGACCAGTGCATTTTCCCGTCACTGAAGGGCGATTCTGTAGGGTAGGTCTTTATCAACGAAGCAGAGGTGAATGACTGGGTGGCAGACTTTTCGCTTCTAAAAGGAGAAATTCGTTTTTACCAAGAAGGAATCCAAAATCAACCTGAACATTGAGAAGAGATTGTCAGTACCTGGATGACAAGCTTTGCGATGATCAGCTTTTGGCTTCGTACAAAAATAAACGTTCAATAATTTTCCGAAGGCGGCCATATTTTTCCCAACAAATCGAACTCATTTAAGAAATTCTAGGAATGGTAATGAAGTGCATATTTTATGAGAGATGGATTTAATTTCGTTTTTAACATTTTAGTTTACGTATCTAAATGTTTTCATTAAAAATGTATCTTTCCATTAAATCACAAAGACAAAATTCAAAGCTAGTAATAAACTTACGAAGCTTATATTTTGTGAAATGAAATCATTTCTTTAGATTATAATTTTGCTAAAAATTATAACTGTAATTTACCTAAATGAATTAGTTTGTTACTGTACGCCGCATGCGAATTAAAAGCTACTAGCCATTACGAAGCTGTCAGGAATTTAACTGCAGGAGCAGACACTGTATTTTTAATCCCACCTGTTATTTGCAGTCAATCTAATCTAATCTTTAGCTTTCATTACTTCATCTTTTACTTCATTTTATTTCCCTTGGAGAAATTTAGACTTCGCACAGGATTTCCGACATCACCTATTATGGAGTCAAGTTCATCACGTCTGAATTCTTTGGCACTGTTTTACGGAGTTCAAACTTCTTCCTTAATTTAACACAAGATATTCTCGAAGCATTTAACTTTCCCACTGTTATCTTAATGGGAGTTAATAAAGTTTTATAGCAGTGTTGCGCTAAAATTCTAATGCATATAAGACTGTTATCCTAATGTTTGATACATACTCTAAGGTAAAAGAATTTCTTTTACATCGCATAGTAGCGTTCCGATTTGTTTTTGGCTTCGGTTTTTTCCCCTTTCTTTTCTACTACATCTTTTGAAAGAAATAGTTTTAGTGGTTGTTTACTCAATTTATTCTTATTCACTAAGTTCAATTCAATTAGCATTTTACAGTTTGTTCTTTCAGTTTAGCTAAATGCTTCACCTAAGAAAGAAACGATGAAAAATCATTCCGTAAAAATTTCATCCTGTTGCGATAAATTTCACTTCACTGGAAATGCAGATTCCATGAAGCTTGCTTATTTTTGCCAGCTCCCTACAAACAGAACATTAAAGGCTACTTAATGAAGTATTGTTTTCGATACAACTTATCGAGTACTTCATTTCAGCTATATATTTAAACTCATACATCTTTAAAATCATCCTCTTGACGAGTCTTTTTTTCTTGCTTTCATTGAGAAAAGAATGAGACCTTATGGGATTTCCAGAAGTTCCCTTACTATCAATAGCATATGGAAAGTAAGAGGTAGACGACCCACTTTACGACGAACTTGTAAAGTTTACATACCACGAGATCTTCGAGACTTGGACACTCTGCGTTTACCAGCTACTTACGAAGAGGATCATTTTCTTGTGCAAAAACTTAAAACGTTCACGAAACATAAATTGCATCATTTTATATTAGTTGTAGTCATCGCCTGTTACTTGTACGCTGGAGCGTTGCTCTTTCAGTTCTTGGATACCAAATGCGAAGTCGAAAATTCTGGAATGAATGTTAGCGCCCACAGGGAAATACTTTTAAGGCAGATCTATAATGTATCGGTTGCAATGATAGAAGAAGAAAGTGATTGGATGAAAACTCTGAAAACAGCTATAGAGCTACATGAATCCAGAGTCCTACGGTACAGCAGCGAAAAAAGTGTCGTTGAAGAAGCAGGCACTCGTAGAATATTGAGCATACGAACATGCATATTCTTCTGTTTTACTGTAATTACTACCATAGGTAAGTGATAATTTATTTTATTTTATTAATGAAAGAATGTTAGTTGTTTCTCCAAAGTAATATTTATAATGTTTACTCTTAGAAAATATATTGCTTTCATGTGTTTCATAGAAACATAAGAAGTGACAGATCAAATCTAATATAAGATGAATTTTAATCTTTCCTATGCGTCTAAACATAAAATCTCCAACTTTAGAAAAGCAAATATATTATACAGAACTAGAACTACATAATATGTGATTTTTCTATGAATGTAATACACTTGAGATGTCTTAGCGCTTGGGTTGCATGCCTACAAATTTAATACTAAGAAAAAATGTTAATTGTTTTTTAACTAAATGATGTAGTAAAATCCTTCCTAACTATTTTAAGCTATACCTAAGCACTAAATCATCACTTTCAGCTTCAGAAGTACAAAAAGGAAACAAGTTGCACGCTTCAATATCCTCTTCTTTCTGCTCATGCTCAACCATAAAAGAAGTGTACTTATTATAGAGCTGGCATGGCAACACTGCGGCTCGCTAGGTGCTTGAGGCTCCTTGGCCTCTGAAATGCGACTCTGTTGCAAGAAACAGCAGTGTTACTTATGAAAAATAGCTGTATTTTGAAACATATTTTATGTAATATTTCTTCCCCAATTAATAATATAATCAGTTTCTAACTTTATATTATATTTTCAGTAACTTAATCCATTTCAAATTAATTTCTTCTTACGCTCACAAATTAGCTAGTTAATAGTTTATAATATTGAAGAAAGGTTTGCTTTTAGCTTAGTCAGTTCCTTCAAATTGCAAGAATAAATATATGGAATAAGGATGAATTCAGAAATTTCAATGCGTTAGTATCTATTTTAAGACCCAAAAATATTCTCGTTATTATCACAGCTTAAATAAAAATGGAACCCAGTTCTCAGCATCTCAACGTTTAGACAAGGAGTAGCTCTGCTAAATCATTTTTCTCTACCAGTCAGTCATTTGCTGCGTTTTGAAGCTGATAAAGAAGTGACACTTAATAAAAATATGTGCTCAGTATATATTTAAAAGAAGAACGAGAGAGAGAGAGAGATCTTTCCACCCTCTCTTTCTGTTCGCCGCATTCGTTAGAAGATGAAATGAAGCCCCAAAACAGTTATCCGATTCAACATTAAATCGAATAACAGGTGCGTTACTTTCCGCATTTCAAAGATTATCGTAGGAAGTCCACGCAAAATGTAAAAGTGGCAAATTAGATGAAGCATTTAAAAATATTTATTTCAATAGCTACAACAGGATGGTTGGTAAATTCAATATTTCACATCAGATGGAGCCTGACTGTCGTTTATCAGGGCACGCCAACTACACACTGGGTAACTAAAATTTCTTAGCTCTTCCAAGAAATGCTTCATTATGAAGAACTCGAAGCAATATTAGCTATGTCTGATAGGCAGGTTGTATATCTTCTGTCAGACGACTATCAATAGATTCGTAATTGTCAATATAAAAAAAATTTTACCCGTGATAAATTCTTGAAAATTGAAAGTAGGGCACATTTTAAAAATTTGAGATTACTTGTCATATGTCCAGAAAACTGCTAGTCCAATTTGTGAAATGGTGTTAAGCCGAAGAATTATCAGCAAATATTTTTATCTGTACATTCCCTGCTTCCATATGTGGGATTTAAGGGATCTGAAAGGAAATGTGTTTAGCCTTCAAATTTTTCAGTTAATACAGCATTTCTAACGCTATCGAGAGCAATGATGACACACTGTTTAACAGAGTTTCCAAAACAAGCTGACACGTACTCAGAAGTTATTTGAGGCCCAAAGAAGGCATTTTCAAGGTTTCTTTTATTGAAAAATATATGCTCCAAAACATGTCTTCTAACATACATTTCGTATTTCATATCGCAGTACATTTATCGGCTCGCGCAGTCCTTAAATCTTAGCGAGCATAGTCTGATGATTCGTGCAGTCATCGCAAAATACTTCGCTACTGACATAAAATACACTATACATCGGAGGAAAGCCAATTTATAATGATTCATATTGTACTTCGCCTTTGTGAAACATTACATAAATCACTTTCTTGTAAGTATATATGTATATTTACATTTCCTGGTGGTTAATAAAAAAATAGTCTAAAAGTAAGATTTTCTTTGCGTTTAATACTGCAATTGCATTTAATAGTTTGCTTAAATACACAGTTCGAAAACTGTATACTTAAATAGAAATGAAATATACGCTCCAAAACATGTCTTCTAACATACATTTCTTATTTCATATCGCAGTACATTTATCGGTTCGCGCAGTCCTTAAATCTTAGCGAGCATAGTCTGATGATTCGTGCAGTCATCGCAAAATACTTCGCTACTGACATAAAATACACTATACATCGGAGGACAGCTACTTTTTAATGATTCATATTGTACTTTGCTTTTGCGAAACATTACATAAATCACTTTCTTGTAAGTATATATGTATATTTACATTTCCTGGTGGTTAATAAAACAATAGTCTAAAAGTAAGATTTTCTTTGCATTTAATACTGAAATTGCATTTAATAGTTTGCTTAAATACACAGTTGGAAAACTGTATACTTAAATAGAAATGAAACAAAAATTCAAGTATAACAGAATCAAATAGATTGGAAGTATGTCATATACACACTATGATCAATACCTTTGTTCAAGGGAAAATAAAAAGGAAGACATTCTTCATTATTTCGTTGAGGCTTACAAATGTCAGCATCGTTTTAATAAATTATTAATGACAAATTCTGCAAAGGTTTTCTGCCTTTGGGGAATGACTTACGTGCCGTACTTTCAAGCAGAAACTAGTTTTTTATTCATGTGGTACGTGGAAAAGCCACAAAACTCCCATGCTGGTTGTATTATAATTTATTAAGCCTGTTTGCAAATAAGAGGGAAATGTTCATGGCAACGATAAGTTTCTTAAAGAAACTACCGTTCCTGACTAATATAAACAAAAATTACTGAATATAAATTATTAAATAACTTTGCTCTTTGACTAATAATCTATGCTCATCCTTCAAGCAACATTTTGAAGTTTTAATTTCTCAGGAAGTTGAGATATCCCATAAGACTTAAGGTAAAAAGAAAGCAGCCAACTCTTTTTGCATACTAAAATGAAAACAAAACCCAATAAGTATCTCATTTTCCATTACACTTCATTAGTTGCTGATGCAGATGATACTAGAACATTTCATGCCATGCATTTCTGATGATGTCAGAATCATGCTTTTGAGGAAACCAACGAATAAAATCAGAATATATATATATATATATATATATTTATATTTATATATATATGATTAATTTCTCCTCGCTCGCTCTCTCTCTCTATATATATATGATAATATATATATATATATATATATATATATATATATGTATGTATGATTCATATGCTGATGACGACAGAAGTGACATACATTTTACAATTTATATATATAATGCTTTAGGTGTTGAATGATGACATAGATGGCATATATTTGAAAATATATATATATACACCTTGTGTGTGTAATGATGATTTAAACAACTTTAACCTGGAGTAAAAACTACTCCTTTGCTTGAATAGCTACATTAGTACTTTTTATATTTTTCTAATTAATTTAGACGGAGAAGAAAGAAGCAGCGGTAGCAAGCTGGCAAGGCAGAGAGAAAGAATGCAACTCTTCAAATGAGGGTTTGCTTAAAACTGATTCGTTTATAGGTTCACTTCGTTTTGATTGGTTGTTTGAGTTTCAGGTCGCAAAATTTAAAATTATTATTGGCTAAAGCGTTATGTAAATCCTTCAGCATAGATACACGTCTTATTTTGATACTTCATCTTTCATTTATACTCCATCATTATGAGAGGGATTAATTTTAAAATGACAGCTTAGAGGGATTTATTATAAGCAGTAATTATTTTTAGGCTTGAAAACGGAAGTAGCCAAATTAAAAGAAAAGAGATACCTTGTATGCGAATGTTGAAAAGTAATACCGCTAATTTTAATTAGTCTTAATTAAACGTGAAGTTTGTGTTGATAAGATATCATTAACGAATTGCAGTCTGCTGTGGTTAGAAAAATGAGATATATATAATATAATGTATTTCACCCGCCTTCTTAACGAGCCTTCGTGGTGTAGTGGTCTGCACGCTCAGCGCGTAATTGAGAGGTAGGCGGTTTGATTCCCGGCGAAGGCTTGCATATTTTTCATCTTTTCTGCTTCCAAAAATTACCTAATGTATCTACAGTAAGTCAGATCTCGCGAACGGGCTGGCTGCATGGGTGTTTTCGTGGTTTTTTCCATGTGTAACGTGTATACGAGCCAGTTTCCCTTAGAAAGTCCTCCACGAAAGCATCTCTCCCCTTAGGCAGATAGCCCTAGTGTGCTTTGCCATAATCAAATACACCAACACCAACTACAGTAAGTCAGCGAATTTGTAATTTTAGACTAGTTGAGTGGTTTTAAACGCTGCCCTAATACTGAGTTTTTAAATATTCAGCTTGGAATGAGTTTTTGACAGCTGCCACAGAGCTAATTACTTTGATAAGGTACACTGCAGAGTGGAGAATTTTAAAATTTAAAAAAAAAAATTAAAGTTCTTATTCATAGGCCTTTATTATCAAAACGGCACAAAATGCAAACTTAATAATATTCTTATATAAAATATTTACACACCAAAAAAATCAGTGTTTTTAATGGGAGGATGAGCCTGATGCTTTAAAAGAAAATGTTTATTATTTGCTTCAAATTAGTGAAGCTGAAGCTTAACCTCAAATCTCCTCTGTCAATGATTTCCAATCTGGTTCTTTCTTCTTTTTCCCGTTGAAACCCCTTTCCACGATGTATGAAGATGCAAAATTTATCAAAACCTTCCTTGCGATAATTCATAACGTAGGCTAAGTAACAGGTATGTCTCTATAAAGTCATAATTGTTGATATCCCTTTTTAAACTACGCTTTAAGTTGCGTGCTTTTTCCAGACAGTTCTTTTTGTAACATGACATCCGATTCTTCAATGTCTCCGCCTGGCTTCATAATCAACTGTGGTATTTCCATATTCAAAACATTACCAAACCTGTTTTTAAAGTCTGTGTGAAGGGCATTTAAATGCTGAATATAGGCCAAAATGTCATCACTCTGGCAGTTTGTCTGTGACAGACTAGGAAATTGGGAAAATTTCCGCCGTCCAATGTTTTGCTTCTTTAAGTTATAAGGTATTTCTTCGCCTTCTTAGCATGCCTTCGCGGTGTAATGGTCAGCACACTCGGCGCGTATTCGAGAGGTCCGTGGTTCGAGTTCCGGCAAAGGCATTGCTCATTTTTCCCGTCTCTTGCTTCGAAATAACTTAGTGTCTCTACAGTAGCGCCCGAGCTAAATAAGGTGTTGGATGCTGATTCTCCACCACCAGGATTTGGCGACTGGGTGCCCTAATTCCCAGTCGTGCACCCTTAAAAGGGTGAGTGTGTAAGATACTTCTCCCGCCTTCTTAGCAGGCCATTCGGGGTGTAATAGTCAGCACACTCGACGAGTATTCGAAAGGTCCATAGTTCGAGTCCCGGCAAGGGCATAGCTGATTTTTCCCGTCTCTTGCTTCGAAATTACCAAATGTCTCTGCAAAGTTAATACTGTCAAAAAAAGCTGCAAAAATGAACTTGGTTTTTATTTAATTTAGATTGTCAACTTGTAACTGCAAATTAACCTCATTAAATTCAGTAAACAGATATGTTAAAAAAGCCATATCTGGTTTCTATTTGATTAAATGTTTTGAAATGTGATCTTTACCATCCAAAACACTTAAAATAATCTGAAAAAAAAATTTTCAAACAGAAGCCTTTTGACAACCAACGCATTTCAGAGTGAAGGAGTAATCGATGAACGTTCTCGTCATTTTCTTCGCACAACTATTTACATAACCTAGAATCCAATGCATTGTTCCGAATGCGTTTAGGACGAATTGAAGAGATTGATGCACTCTGCCATTAAAATTTTTAGGAATTAGAATAGACAGATGACGCAGTGAATTGCAAACACTATGGGTATATTTTGTTTTAAATGGTTTATAATAGCGCCCAAACATGGCAGGTGTTCCATCTACTGCTGCTGACATTATATTTGAAGGGGGAAAAAAAGATCGTTTTTTCTATGAAATAATCTCTTAAAACATTGAATATTGATTCCCCTTTAGTGTCTGTTGTGAAAATTCTCTCGAAGAGCTCTTCTTAACGGATGTCTTGGTCCGTAACATAATGAACGCATGTTAATAACAGTGCTTCATTACCAGACAGAGTTGACTCTCCAACCGAATGGAGAGATATCTCATTTGTAGATAATTACACAAAAAGCTTTCAGTATCATCACTCATTTCATCAGTTCGTTTCTGAACTATGTTGTTACTTAACGGAATCCGTTTGAGCATATCATATGCAGGTCTGTGCAGAGCAGTTTTTAAAGCCTCTTCAATGGCTGGCAAAATTAGCTGGCCTTAGATTGTATGCGGCTTTCCTGATTTTGCTATAAGAAGTGACATGTTACAAGACACCTGCAAACCATCATCGTCCCTTTTTGACATCGAATCGAACATATTGTCCAAAATGGGTACCATTTAAAGTTTACTTTCAGGGTTTGAAAGTAATTCAAATCTTTACCTGTTTTATCAGGGTTGATACTTTCCCAGATGATTCTCCAACTTGGATGGTTTCATACAGCCATTGCTTAAAAAGCATTGTAGAATAAAATTCACATGGGCAGGTGTTTGTCCGACAATGATGAAACTAAACCGAAATTCTAATAATCAACGCTATACTTCCTACATTTCCTTTTAGATTCGGCCCTGTTTAGTAGCAGTTATCTGTAGACAAAAATTAAGCTACTTAAAATATGATAAAACATAGCAATTTAAAACCGATTCCCATGCAAAACCTGATTTCAATCTTTCGTTAAGTATAAAGGGTGCCTTTTTAAAAGTTGGCTCATTATTTTTACCAGTTTGTTGTACTTCCTTAAATAAAGTTATTCTGAAAATTTGATTTTATACAAAAGTGTTTAAAAAAATTTAAATCCCACCTTGTGTCCACTTCAAAATGTCTTAATACGTTTAAAAGCAAAACGTAACTACTTGCTCGATCTAAACTGGGTTTTACTTGTTATAATTCAGTTGTGTTGATTATTAAAGAGGAGCACTTCTTTCGTCGTAGAACATAGACAATTCGCAGAGATGTCCTCTTTGTCATTTTTAGATGCAACCGCTTTAAATTTTAGAATTTCACGCGATTATAAACATGGTAGGCGTGTCTAAGCAATCAGAGTAACTACAAAAGGAATAATTTATTATATATATATAATTTACTGACTTTTTCTCAAAGTTCAAAGAAGATGACTTTGATGTATTTTAACTAGTATGTACCCAACTACTTATTTATAATTTTGAAAAATATTTGTCATCTTTCTTCTTCTCAAAATTCAGAAAACATCTCTTACACTAGTATTTATAACTGACGAATTGAACAAATCCGCGCAAGCAAAAGTGATGCAAATCTTCGCCGTCTTTACAAAGCTCTAGTACATGTCTAAACAAGCGGTACTACTGAGCGTATGCGTACAAAGCCTTGCCTCTGGTATCAAATGTGAAAATATTTACAATTTGCAAGTACTGTGGCCACAGAATGAATAGGTACCTGCTTACACAAGTTTATAAAATATGCTTAATTAATATACAATTAGTTAATTTAGTATATGCCTATTACATAAGTAAGTATTATGTAAGTATATTGGTAAAATCTGTTAGGTGCATTATGGCATCTACGGAATGTCTAAATTTTGGTAATAATCTACTTAAATGAGATCCAGTCTTGTAGACATCTAACATCTCATGCAACCCATTTTTCAATTTCGTTTGCATTAATCTATTCCAGATAGACGTAGACCCCTGGAGGGTCCATACAGATCCCTTTGGCTATCTATTGCTCTAAATTAGAATTGAACCATAAAGTAAAAAAAACACTCCATACGCTTGAATTAATGACCAACTCTTAAAAGGGGCTGGAAACAGGTTGCTAATTAAAACGGCAGAGTTATACACTTACAGGAAATTGCATTCCTAAGCTAAATTATTTTATTGCTACGGCTTTTGATCGTTGTTTTCACGCATGTAATAATCATATTTCTTTATTACTTAGGTTACGGGAATATCTCACCCTGTACGGATGATCGTTGTTTTCACGCATGTAATAATCATATTTCTTTATTACTTAGGTTATGGGAATATCTCACCCTGTACGGATACTTTTAGAGCGGTTACAACGCTTTATGCTGTGTTTGGTGTACCTCTGATGATTTTAGTTTTGGCTGATTTAGGGAAGTTGTTCACTAAAGGTATTAAGTTCATCGTACGTCATTTACAGAGATTTTACCAAACTGGTACTTTCAGACAATCAAATCAATCTGATATAACAGAAGACAAGCCTTTACAAGTACGTATACCGCTTTTTATATTTAATATTTATCTGTTACTGATATTTTAATTAATTCCTTAAATATATTCTAAATTAATTTTGCAGTGCGAATAGCTTCTAAGTAAAGGAGGGTAACTTGAAATATAACAATTCTTGAAAATATTTCTCTAGGAAAGGGAAACTTTACATTGCAAAAATTTGATTGTGTTGTTATTTTCTGAACTTTCTAATATTTTAAACAAAGTTTTTCTTCCTTTATATATTTAGTCTCCTAAGATTACAAATTAGAACAGTGATTTTGAGTTTATAAGAGTTTTTCAAACTTTCCAAGAATTAAGGGGGAGAAGTTTTTCGTTTATTAATGAAACCAAAAAAATAGAAAAATCCTCAGTTCCTTATGGAAAATTTATATGACTACTTTATTGAACAAAATACTAACAAATAGTCACAAAGCATTAGTCAAGATTTTATTGCAATTAACTCACGTATCGTTATAGCGATGTATATACTGGGGTTGGACAATGAAACTGAAACACCTGCATTTTATTGTGTTTATCATTATTAATACATCGTTAATGCACTGTAGACTCTCTTTTAAGACGCCAATAGCACTTTTTCTTGGAAATGACAGATACGAATCTTGTGTAATCGTTTAAAATATTTTATACATTCCTCTGACAAAACAGTGACTACTTAACTTCATGATGGAGGAGAAGAAAAATAATTTTCAACTCGGTCTCCTATGATAGTCAGACAGGTTCAGTGGTGTCGAGATGAGGGGATTCCGCCGCTACTTTTACGATTTGAACTGTCGAATTGTAATCCTGATTCTCAGCACGTTCTTGGAGATACATTTCTTGAAAAACTGGATGATCTTCGTCTTTTAGAATGCATTAAGTAATCCTTGACAGTAATGTTAACGTCAATACCAATCAGTATTCCTAGAGACTTCCACGATACTGAACCCACATCATCATCAATTTACCTCTGTGCTTCAATCTGGGCACGAGATAGTCGGATCAACGACTCTGAATGAGTTCTTTATTCATAAACTCTCCCAGAAGTCTGAAAGACAGTGAATATGTACTTATACAGTGTATTATATGTACTTACTTATACAATCTTTGAATAATAAAAATTTTGCATTTCCTTCAGACCAGGTTTTGCACTCCTAATACCCCCAAAATCAGTATCTAGCATGATTGCTATTAATCAAAGGCTTTGTTGTAGCTGACGGTTCTGTATATTAATCCTATGAAGCTCTCCAGAGACAATTTTTATATAAAAGGTGAATTCAAGAGAATGTTGAGTTTTGCAGTGTGTTTAGATCAGATCTTAAACAGGCTCTGTGTTAAAGAACAGCCTTTCACACTTCAGAATATGAGAGAGAAATGCTTAGGCATAAATTAAACAGTGTATAATCAAATTAGTCACATTTTAAGACTATCTTGCATTTTAAATAAATCTGTGATGAACTGCACAAGATAAAGTGGAAGAAAGGCAACTTACAGAAATACATCCACTATACATCCACCAGCAGTGGATGTATTAGTCAGACTATGAGCAGTTAAGCCCAGCAATAATATAGCCTTTTGACAATACTTTTTTATTCAAACCCAATTCTGAACATGCTATGAAACCTCAGTCCGAGTAAATGTTCAGTTGTACGTTAGAAAATTTATAAAGAAGATTAACTAATATGGTTGCTTTTCATACACACTGGAACAAAGATTACTTGCTCGGTGTAATCAAGAAAGTTTGTACGTTGAATATTAAAGAAAGTTTTTTCGCGAACAGAGCTATTAGTCAATGGAATTGGCTCATGATTTCTAATAATTATTACTATCAGATCCTTAGAAAACCATTTATAAAGGCAAGGTTTGTATTTAGGATGATCGTATCTTAGTGTTATAAATGATAACGTAAGCTTCCCAAAACTTTCAAACCCTTAGTGCAAACGAATTTGAATTAAAATTTTTGTTGAATTATTTCATATATAAAAATAAAAATGTTCAGAAGAAAACTTTAAATTCACCGATTACTTCGTAATTTTTGTAGCATTCATTCCTATTTAATAAAAAATACATCTTTTGATAAGAAAATGGCCGTAGGCTACATTTGTATAATTTATTTAGCTATCCACTGACATTCAGTGGATCTAATCTAAATATATAGTAATAACTAAATAAGTCTTCTAATCTAAATGTATAGTAGCAAGAATTAATCTAAATTTTTAAGTTCAGAAATGAGGATTTTTTTAAATATCCACACAAAGGCGAAAAAGTATTTTTATAGCCAAAACTACCATAAACAAAAGACTCACTTGGCTTTTTAAATAGTTTCAATTAACAAAACACAATTAAGATAAAACATTACAATTAAGAGCGTTATAATTATACATTTAAGTTACAAAGTAAATCTCGGGGAACAACATGCTTAGTGTCTTGAGTCCAGTACATCGACTGACTGCTATAGTCTTTGTTGGCCGGTGTTTTGTCTCGGCGGCCGCTAGGTGGCGCTCGTTGAGCCGTGGGGTTACATTTTTGATTTGCTGTATACTGTTAGGAGTCATTAATAAATCCTGTCATTTAGAATTAAAGATGGCTACCAGTAAAGAAGTTCAAAATAAAAATATATTTTACAAACAAAAATTTCTTTCACTCCTTCAAGGCCAAGAGCAATCCAGTGAAAATGATAGAGAAAAAAAGATAAACTGTAATTTATCTGAGTAATGTGCGAACAAAAGTTACGAACTTTTAGAATCATATCGAAGAATGCTAAAGGTTGTGCTTGGCATAAAAGAAAAAAAGAATAAGTTTGTACTTTCTCAACACTTTTTTTGTTTAATTTCCATTACAGAACAAATTTTACAACAGTGGCTGATGCAAGTTATTAAAATAGATTAAAATCTTTAGATGTTTCCATTCTCAAAATTTTAAATATATAGTTTAAGAGCCTGAAATGTGGTTCAAGGAATCTAATTCTAATTTATTTTATAAATACCAATTCCCCAATTTTAAAATGTTTTAAAATGTAACCAAAATTAGGTGCAAGTTTATTTACATAAATGATTTTAAATACACAGATTCTGTTTATTGAGCTACATTATTATATTATGATCATATGTGAATTACTGAGCTTATATTATTATTTTCAAGACATCTTTATAAATTTACATTAAAGTGATACACCATGAATTTAGATTATATGCGGATATAAATTGATTTACTTGTGATTAATCAGATGTTTTTTCATTTTATTTCAGTATATGACTGTATCATGGAGAACAGTAAAGCAAGATAAGATACCAGATAAAACTAAAGACGACATTTCTATTCAAAACCTTGCATCCGAATATCATTACAACCAAGTGACAACATTAACAATTCACAATGATGATTTATATAAAAATCTTGATTTCATGAACCCAGATGAGAAGAATCATAAGCATGTGGAAGTTGAGGATGACTTCACTCTGCCAGTTAGTCTGGCAGTGGCCCTAGTCTTAATATATATGGTTGTAGGAGGTTTCTTATTTGCTCTATGGGAGAAATGGACGTTTTTCGAGGCATTTTATTTCGTTTTTATTTCAATGACAACTATAGGATTTGGAGATTATGTTCCAACTCAAGAGGAATATATGATGGGTGCTTTTGCGTATCTTGTGCTCGGCTTGATGTTAACTTCAATGTGCATCAATGTGATACAGGAGAAACTTACTGCAACATTTCAAAAAGCCAGGGTGAGGATAGGAAATAACACTGTTTTAAATGTAAATGCTTTACTTCAAGATGAAGGTCATAAGTCAAGAACTCCGAAATCAAACACATGTGATCCGCAGAAGTGTTATGCTTTCAAAATGGCTCTTCATAAAGATAGTTTTAGTAGCATAGAACAAAACTCACTTTCCCATATGCGCCCATCAAGGACACAAGTAAACATATTAGAAAAACTCTCTGAAAATGATACAAAAAGTGATTCTGGGAAAGAAATTCAGTTAAAAGTTCCTGTTCTAAACAGATTTACATTTTATGATTCTCCTTATAATACAATACAAGATGAAAATGATACGACAAAAAGTGCAGATATTATGTTGAAACTTCCTAACTCAAATTTTTCTGCAAATATATAAAATATATGTTAAACCCCACTATACACATCTTATCTCTCTAGACATAACACGAACACAAATTTTAAAAGCAAGTTATTTATTATTTGATTACTATTCATTATTATTTGACTATTATTACTTTTTAACTATTATTCATATATTTCGCAATGTGGAACCAATTAAGTTTCTAATAATATATGCAACCAAGATTCAGTATAAAATATAACTTTTATTCTGTAAGAAATATTTTCGGAAAAATAATTCTAAGACAGTATTATTAGATAACAACATTCTAAAATAAAAAAATATCAAACTACTAATAATTTATTGCAGAATTCTAATATTTTCCCCCCTCTCAATATGTGCATTAGTAGAAGGAATTTTAATATTTAATCATTCTACATAAGGAGAAAAGTAAATTATAATGAAATACTACATTAGTTTAATGATACTGAAACTAATGAGAGATTATTAAAACCAAAATTAAGAAAAAGAGTAAACGTTATACAAACGCTTTTGTAAGTATGCAAGTAAACGCACTCAGAATAAATTTAGTGTGAGCCTAGAAACACTATAGAAAGAAAGTATCTTCAAGTACAAATTATTAAGTTTTTATATAAATGAAAAAAAGGCTATCTTTATATATTTAAAGCATGAAAAAATATGATGAGAATGGGTCAAAACAAGAAAACTGGAATGAAAATAAACGGAAATATGCAGTTAATTAGAGAGGGAAAAGTCCAAATACATCAGTTACGGAGATAACATAAAATCTTAATTGGATACCTTTAAAAGAAAAATTTCATAAAAACTGCATAGCATGTGATAATAAGCATCTTGTTTCTATTATGATTTGAAGTTTCATGTCGCTGATAGAACTAACATAGTTTATGTAATCGAAAGTTAAATTGTAACGTTTCTTCAAAACGTTTTAGAATATTTATAAATTTAATTGGTTTTATATTGTGCCCTATTTCATTAATTAGAAATAAAATTTTTGTATATAAATATAATATTTATCAGATAATAATAAACTCACATGTACAATTTTTGTCCCTATTGATTGCCTTATTGATTTTTTAGCAGAGGGTAGTACGTTACATCAAGACTAGTTGTTGGTTTCGTGATAACTAATATCATTTAATCACTATCTGCTAAATGAAAACATTTAAATATTTTTAGGTTTCAAAAGTTATAATAAATATTTTAATTGTGAATTTGATGTATGGCTTAATCTGCAGTATAACTTATAGAAATAATTCTATTATTATTATTAGTCTTAAAAATGATTGTTAATGAAATATATTTTATTTATTCTGTGTCAATGAGCATTAATTTTCAAAATTTCTTTCATCTTTCTTCATGAATTCATAATTTAGCAGCTAATGCAGCAGAAATATCATTCACTAAATATTGAAAGATAATCTTGCTATCAGTTTTAAATTTTATTCATTTTAATTCCCCAGTACTAATAACTGCCGCTTAAGGATACGTTTCAGATTCTTTGGAAAACCTCGAAAGTATTAATTTTACTTACACTGATAACAAAATTTCAAAGTATAAAAAAGATATGCAAATAAAATTTTCAAACCAAAAGTTAAGGATTCAATAATTTTCTGAAATAGCTCTCAAAAAATGCTTTGTTACTGTTAATAAATTTACCTTTCAAGCTTATCTGAACAGCATTTAATCACAGTATATTTGTTTGATCTTAACGCCATGTAAGTGATACACTTTAGGTGAATTACATCAAGTGTAATTCAGTAAAATGTATCACTTTTAGAGACATTGGGTATTTTTTTTTGGAAGCAGGAAAGATAAAAAATGATAACGCCTTCGCCAGGAATCGAACCACGGACCTATGGAATACGCGCCGAGCGTGCAGACCACTACACCATGAAAGCACGCTAAGAAGGCGGGAGAAATACCTTATATTCTCCTCCTTTTAAAGGGCGACTGGGGTAGGGGACCCAAACGCCAAATCCTGGGTGTGGAGAATCATAATCCACCACCCTTTTTTAGTTCAGGCGCCACTGTAGAGACATTACGTTATTTCGAAGCAGGAGTCGTGAAAAATGAGCAACGTCTTCGCCGGGAATCGAACCACGGACTTCTGGAATACGCGCCCGACGTGCAGACCACTACATCACGAAGGCACACTAAGAAGGAGGGAGAAATACTTTATACACTTACAGAATAATAGCATGCTTTTTGCAAAAATCTAAATTTTTATGGAAAACTGTTCGTAACTTTTATGAAGTTAATCAGTTTGAGGGTCATTCTTTCTTAAGTTGCTAATTTTAGAGAACTTCAAATTTGCAACATTTATAACTAGTGGTACTGTCGTAACACCTACATCCACTGATTCCCAATAAGACCAAAGAATGACCGTAACATAGCAAAATATAGTAATTCAAACACTTTCAGTATTGCTGCCTTTCTCACAAGTATCACAATGGTAAACACTTGAATATACCACTTCAAAATGATCACCCTTCATAATTAAACGTTTATGTCTTGCTTGAATGCTATAAATATACTAGCCGCAGAATCCTGTCACAGATTCAAAAGTATTTGACTCATCTTTCTTCATTTTCGAGCCTTTATGTCTCAGTCAAATTCGTTTCTTTCTGCTTCAAATATTATTTTAGTCCCATTACAGCCACTTTATTATATATTTTACTTTTTAAAAAATTAAAAAAAAAAAAAAAAAAAAAAAAAAAAAAAAAAAAAAAAAAACAAAAAAAAAAAAAAAAAAGACTGATTTTTATTCTGACATCCCTTGAAATTGAATACTGACTGTACTGCACGGTATAGAAATTACATATGTTTGCCACTCGTCTTATTCAGATTACGTTAAAATGTCAGAATCTCTTTCTTTGATAAGTGTACAAGGCAGATAGAATATGTGTTAATGTACAGTATTTTTCGTTATTTTATTTCGTAGTACAATGTATTTTATTTTATGTAAGAAATATTTTATAGTGCCTATTTTATCAATTAAACTTGAGCGTTATTTACTGTTTTACAGTAATAAATGTTAGCTCTGTATGTAGGCATTTTACATTAACATTCTTAAGTGATAAATCTTGGATATACAAGATTACGTACATCTTGGTATCAAATATTTGCCAATGGCAATAAACGTCAATTAATCGGTACCAATAATAGTACAGCTATTCGATCTTTGCCTTTTTTTCTCTCGTTCTGCATTATTGCGCGTTTTTCCTCACTTTTCGAAACAAAAAGATTAATGATTTTCCTGGTAAAAGGAAAACAAAAAAAAAAAAAAAAAAAGAGAGATTCATCTCAGCATACGAAGTTTCAGACCGATGTAAACCACATTGCATAAAACAGTTTTCCTTCTTCTCAGCGGAAGCAATATTCTTTGATATCAGTTTTCTATAAAACTTCTTTAAAAAATAACCCGTGCCGTTCATTTAATTGTTCAAATCCAACCGTTACTTACTAAAACTTACTAGCTTCTAAACACTTTTGCTTTTTGGAATTCACATTCCCATTTTTAAGATGATTTCCGTTAGGTACACACTTTTGGCTCTAGCGCTGTTGAATTATTTCAGAAAGTTCTCCTTTCCTATGCGTCGTTCAAAAATAAATAAATAAATAAATACATTGGTCCGCAAAATGAAGAGAATTTCCAAATTATGTCTATTTCAACAAAACGTATTAAACCAAAGGTACTAATTATGCCAGAGAACAGCTGTTCAATTATTCAGAATCGAATGCGTAAGCGTACACGTATGTGTCTGTTGAGGTGTAATTGTGGAGGCGATATAAGCGCACGAGTGGTTTTCAGCTATTTGTGCGCCCGGTACTCCTTCACGGCTTTCACGGTGTTTCTCGCAGAAATTCGTAAATTTTATGATGTGTCAAGTAAAATAAGCAGCCACGAACGTATGGATGACGGAATGAGATGGAGAATTGGAGGTAGATCGGAGGCTAACAAGTCAGAAGCGCAGGTGGATACAGAGCTCAATGTAGCCCCCCAACGTCGTCTGAAATTTACAGAAACAGTTTCCGAACACTGGATCTATATCGGAAAGACCCGGACAAGGTCGACAAAGATCCACAATGACTAATGAGGATCGTTATTTGGCACTTTCAGTGAGGTGACGCGGACTGCTACAGGTTCACAGCTGCCACGTGAGCTGTATGCGGCCACTGAAACCCGAGTTTCAAGCTCTACAGTTGCCCGAAAGCTTTATGACAGAGGACTACATGCCAGAAGACCCACTGTTTGTGTCCCACTTACTGACGCCCACAAGAGAGTGCGTTTAGCATTGTTCAGACAACATGCGCCTTGGACTTCAATGGAGCAGCGTTCTTTTAACAGATGAGTGGAGATTCAGCCTAGACACTGACTTTGGCGTACTTGTATCTGTAGAGAGCCTGGAACACAGTGCCAAACCTACCTTATCACGAAGAAGAACCATTACGGTGCTGCAGGAGTAATAATTTGAGTATGCTTTATTTTCAACGGTCAGGCACAATCCTGAATGTACTTGACGAAGGCTTCCTAACTGCTGTGAGGTATCTAACATCCACGAATGCATTTTTGCTGACATTTTCGCGAAGAAGTTTTATTTGCTTATCCTTTTCCCGAGATTCGCTATGGAGCTCTAGATTTGAGATTACTCTTTGAGAAACGACAAGGAAATAAAACTTTTCATTATCTGCTTCACACCCGAAGGCCAGTTCCTAGAACAATGGATAACCGCAACTCAGAAGTAATGAATGTTCCTTTGCCTGGCAATAGAATTATCTTAGCGTTCTTCGTTCTCTCGGTTAGCTTATTTGAATATGGCAAAGAACACGACAGCTATCTGACTAAGGGAAAAGATGACTTCCTAAAGGACTTTCAAAGGATAATTGGCTCGTATTCATGTTACACACGGGGAAAACCACAAAAACTAATCATCCCAACCCCAGCTCCCCTAAATTCTAGTCCGAGTCTTACTACAGTGAAACTTTGATTAACAAACGCCCTGGAGCAGGAACAAATCCAAACGAAAAATGTTTGAATGAAGAAAGATGTCTCGAGATACGAAAACGTAAGCTGGCAGCAAATGATACTCTAAAGTGTAGCTAATGCAGAGAAGGAAATTTTTTCAGAAGGGGGCAGAATGAAGATCTTCCCAGTTATTTGATCCACGAAATTTGGGCAAAATTGGATAAGGTACAAATGTTTATAGAACATTATGATCCACATAAAGTCGCATCTTAAATATTTGTAGTGACAATCCGATGCCTTGCTTTAGGAAAATATAGACAAAAATAAATAAAAATGGAGAAATTTTTAATGGGACAAAGGCTTAGTGATTCTCAAGTAGAAGCGAGGTGCTGTTCAGAAAAAGAGAAAAAAAAGGGGGGGAAACAGATAAACAACAGTAACTCCCTGCTAATTTTTTTTACGGAATGAGACTTTTTCCCTTTCAAACAATAATAATATTTTGCACATTCGGCTTCTTCATGGGTTTTTTCCGAAGAGATGCGGTAAAATTTAATTCAGGTTTTCCTATTTTTTATATGTTTGTTATTGTGTTAACAAATTACTGTGTATATCTCAATATTGTGCATATGTTAGATTTAATGAATTCCACTATTTTTGAATTACGAAATCTTTTATAAGCAATCATTCAGAATCCAAGATCGCATCAGTTAATTTTAAATTGGGAAAAATTGTTTCGGTTTACGAATATTTCGGATGACGAACTATCTTCAGGAACCAAGGTTTCAGTTCATGAGCCAAGGTTTCACTGAACCAATACTAAGCAATCTTAACCACACGGCCACTGGTGGGGCTTCTTCTTTCTCTCGAAATTTGCAAATACTATTTAAATTTTCTGTTATGTGTCTAACTTTGCATTTTCACGTTCTTGTAAACGTGTACTGTTTGTTGTACAAGTAAGTTCATGCCTACATACATTTGTGCCTGAGATTGTTTTGACTTTGCGAGCCTTGTGCTATACTTTGTGGGTTTTGAATCCAGTAAAATAAATAAATGTTTCTAAAAAAAAAAGGCAACGGAATGTTATCTCTTTGAAAATCCGTCAAGAGACAGGAAAAATCTAGAAGCAATTTCTTATCCTACCTATAAGGGAGGTCTTCTAACCTTGAACTCTCAATTTTTCTGATAAAAATATTATGTGAATCTACTCATCTATAAATACGTAATCATAAAATAATTATCTGCTAACATTCTATAGATAAACAGTTAA